CACCCTCTAAGGTTTTAGACTTTATTTAGACCTGTTGACAGACCTACTTTAAATATAAGGGACTAAAAATCAATCATTTAGAAAACATGGATGTCCGTAGATAATGTCACAACAATTTATTGAATTCCACGACACAAAAATGGCAAAGGGCAATGAAAAAAAATTGTTTGTTTCGTGTAAGCATAGAGTAAGGGACATGCGTATATATTCCAAGCAAATGTGGTTCTAATCACGTTTAAAAAGCGACAGTGGCCCACTAGCGGTGCTTCATAAACAGCAGGGATTCTTCAACCATCTTCAGGGGATCTTGAATGCTCCAACCCTTTCCACGTCCTGCAGTGGTTCAGACATTTTACATGAACCAAAGACGTCAAACTACTTTTGATCTAATTTTCTCACAACAGCTGTTGTGAATACTGATCTTTATAAAGTTATTGTCTGTACATAACTACGTGTTAATTCCATTGATACTTGTTGACAAATTTCAATCGGAGCCAAGGTGTTGGATTGGCCCCCCTACAGATATTACCCTTTATAGAGCCACATTGCTTCTTTTAAAAAAACACTTGATTTGAGTTGAGGTCTAAAGGAGCCAATCCAAAATGAATAAAAAAAAGAACAAGCCAAAATAAATTTGGTGTCAATTTGAACCAATCAAATTTTGGTCAATTTGAACAACCCCAAAGATTACTGAAGAGAAGCAGATCTTCTTCTATAAAATACAAACTTTATTGACCCAAAGACCTGAAATCAAGTAGGATTCAATATATTTTGGCGCATCCCATCCCAGGTTCCAGGTCTTCTTAAGGTATCTTCAAGGCTTCATGAAGTTACCCTTTTTATATATATTGATGTACAAATGTTGACTTGGTATAGCAGCTATTATTCCCAGTGAATCCCCTGGTTTCCCTCTATCTCTCAGATAGCAGTTCTCTGTAACTGTGGTGAAATGCTTGTTTATCTCCACTAATGTCAGACAGCATGATCACAATTCAGAGCACATGTCCTGTTTGGCTGAGTGAATATTTCACTCAGTAGTAAACAGGGATGACTGCAAAAGTTTTCTTTGACATAACAAAGAAGATAAGGGATGTAAACACCATATAACTCCAGGCAGCTGGCATACACATCATTACTATTAATATTATAGGATGTAGAGGATGCCTGGTAGTTCCCATCACTGACAGCTGCCAAAACACTAATGATCACACATAGACACTGGATGTTCATGCTGCCTTTATTTTTAACACAAGTCCATGCCAGGATCTAGGGTCTGAAATAGACTATTATTGCTGAGCATACAAATGTCATTCACAAATAGTTCAGTCTGGCAAGAAAAAAAAAGTCTGAAACTTTAACAGTTGACAGTCATCTCTGACTGTGTTGGTGGCTTAAGATTTTTAAGAAGTTTTCCTACCCATAAGTAAAATACCTGCACTGGGTTGCACCAGCTATGTGTAAGTTTAAACATAGCCTAGATTGATCCGGAACATACAACACTCATGATTTATCATTTAAAAAGTTGGGATACCTTGGAGGGTTGAGGAGGAGTTTTTGTTACTTGCTGTTTTTAGACAGTGAATTCTCTGTGATAGATTGCATCCCTTGGAAACGTAAATTTTTTAACTCCAACAAAAGATAACCATTTATTTACCTTATGTTGTAAAGGATTTCACCGACCTGTCACTACTGTTATTTTACACTAGCTGTAGATTAAGGTCACTTTCACATATGAAGTTTGGACTCAGGGGTGCGATTCAGCGGTGAAGGTGACATTGTTGCATTTTTTTCTTTTTCTTCGGTGTGCCTTCACACTGCACTTTGTCAAGCGTATCAAAGCTTGTCAAATGTTGTATACTGCAGCCACCCGCCATTTGTTGGGGCAGTAGCTCAGGTAAATGGCTACTGCCATCTTGAGTAACGCTGCACAATGGCCCGGAAGAATGGCATCCCATACTACAAGTTTGTCAGTATTTAGATCTATTAAGGAGCTAAAGTTATATTTCGGCTGTGTCAGGTTAAACTGGCACATCAACCGGAGAAATATGTAACCACATTTAGCACAAGCATGTAGATGTTAACCTTCAAGGGGACTGAAGGCTGGTGTTGTTTGCAATGCTAACGGTAGCCGAACTCAGGAAACCTATTTGGCATTGTTTACCGCAGCTATCATTAGCCGGGTTATCTTACCTTTAGACTAGGCTGTTTTTTTTGCTGTTTATTCTGAAAAATCTAGCCAAATTCAGCCCACAATGCACTGCTCATGTTTGGTTTCGAGTTGCGTTCTCAGCTACTGCAAACCAAAATCTGGAGCACTTGGAAGCAAACAAAGACCCTGTTTTCAAGCAGACCAGAGTTTGGTTCCGTGGTCTACACCAGTGTTTGTTTGAGAATTCAAACCACCCCAAACCAAACAAACTATCAGACAAAGGGTCCAGAGTTAATTTCAAACGGACCAAGGGGGTAGACTGATGTTAGCGCCTAATCATAATGCATTGTCATCAATTCTTCTTTGTGTGACGGCTTTTTATACCTGTATTACATATATAGGACAGTGAATAGAGTTGGAAATCAGAGAGAGAGAGAGAGAGAGTGGGGAAGAGCCACAGGTTGGATTCAAACCTGGGCTGCCCACTTTGAGAATTGTAGTCTCTGTTCATGGGGCACAACGCCCAGCACACCGCATCCCCCCTTTGTCACATTTTAAATACATTTTCATTGCTGTTTGCCAAGTAACATGAAAGCCTCCCCTGTCACAAACACTGCTTTAAGAAAAATGCTTTTTTACTGATTGGTCACATGAAGTCTTAAAATAATTTCTGCAAACAATACTTTGTTATTTTTGGATGTTACGCTCAACAAGTTAAGAGGAACCTTATGTCTCCATGGTGCAACCAAACAATGACACAACTTAAGTTACAAACTAACCAGTTTCAAAGTAAGCTGTAGTGTGTATACACAGTCCTTTTCTTGCAGGATGAGAGAGTTGGGAATGGCTTTTTGACAAAGTGCCGAGTCAAACCCAGGCAGTGCGCTTGAAGGACTAAAGCCTCTGAACATGGGCATGTGATATATCTGTGTAGGCTAACAGGACCCCCTATGTTCATTTCAAGGCTTTCAGTTTCCATCCTATATTTGAAACAGGATAGTCAATTTGTAGCCTCTGACAACTGTTTCACACTATTATTTGGTATGAAGTTTATATTGGCTCTGTAATTTTAGAAGTAGACTTGTTATGGTTACTTTGCTCCTTTTAAATGGTCTTATTGGAACCTTTCTCCTTTCTCCTACCATGCTCTCAGGCCACATTTGATGCTTAGATGAAAAAAAGCAGTATAACTAGATGACTCCCTGCCACAGGAAGCAGCTGCAGGGAGTAAAAGCTTGGAAGTACTCTCTGCTATCAAACTTGAACTTTCACTTGTTGCTATCTCCATTTAAGATGAGCAATGTCAGGGCATCCCGCTGCCTCACAAGGTTACAACCCATACCCTCAGTTCACTAAATCATTGGTTTAAAATCAGCCAAGACACCTTTATTACATGCAGCTCCCTCACCTTCGTTCTGTGCCATCTGTCTAATGGAGCTGAAATGAAAGATTTACGATAAGCTGTCTTCAAAGTCAGGAAACCACATTTTAGAGGATTACTACACGTTGATTGAATATCTTGAACCACAATGGACTGGGGTTAGGGATGCTACATTGCATTCATTTTTACGTGTTTGATACCCTGTCAATACAACACCCTAAACTTCCTCTCAAAAATCCTCATAAATAAGTCTATATAGTACGAGTTGAGTTTCTGAATTAGTCCCAGCATGGAGCATACAGGGCCTGTGCGCCTTTCAGCTTTTTTAAAAAACTATCAGCTTCCATGACCTCAGTTTCAGAGCGCTTTTAACAGGTTATGAACATTGGCTCGCTGCAGTTCCGCATCCCTTGGTTTTGACTATTTAGTGTTTTATGTATGCTTATTAATATATGCCTTTGTTTAAGGAAATATCACAAAGACAACAACATGTAAATGTATCCTGCCATGGTATTAGCAGCAGCTCTACACCTGGAAACTGTTACCTTGGAAAGACAAGTCAGATTAGTTTATCTTGACAAAACTTATGTTATAACTCCTGCTCAGTCTTTATGTGGTTGGTGAGTGAGAAGTGACATTGACAAGCAGGACAGTGTTCTAAAAGTTTCTATTTTCAAATGAGAATGTTTTGAGTGCAGCAAGGGTTTTTTGTACTTTGGACCCCAAGTCCTGCAAAAGCTGAACGACAATGGTTTTGTGCAGAAAATGGCCACTGCCATCGCTCAAAATCATGTCCCAAAGGTTGAACATTCTGTCTGGATAACAGAATTGGATTGCATCCTATTTCAGTTCTGTTAACAGCGTACCATGAGCTGGATGAGACGTTTGTGTAAATTTAAATAATGATTTATTATATCCTGTGTGTTATGGACATGGACATATTTTAGTTTGGACAAAATGCTGTTCATTATATTTTATGTATGTTCAACAAAACCATACTCTGTCATAGTTTGCCTGCTTGGAACTTGGAACCACCTGTTAAGAACATTACAATCTGATATAATTTAACGTTTACTGTTAGCAAAACGTACCAAAGCTTTAAAAAAGATCCAATGCAGCTCTCTGGTGGTTACAACTCCCAAGCGCCCCTTTTTTTCTGCACTCCAGTTCCAGCTAACAGCGGTTTATATCAGCTGTTGAAGGAAACATCTGCTATTGGATCCACAGAAATAGAGGAAGACATCCAATTTGTGGAAGATTTTTCCCTTGGGTAATGGTTGCTAATAAGTACTGATGGCTTGATTCTGGCTACCTTAAGCTTCTACCTGGAAAACAATGAAATTATAATGTGTATGGATATTTTTTTGTGATGTTCTGTAAGGTTTTACAGGAATTTGTGTTTCCATTTAATCGAGAGAGAAATTGTAAATTGTCTGGCATTAGACTAAATATGTTTCTCTTTTCCACCAGGATCCGGCCCATACACCCAGGTCAGCAGTATGTTGTAAAGCCCAAATACTACCACACTCACACCACTCACACACAGACGCATGTCCAATCCCGACCTGAGAGGCCGATCCCCCTGACAGTGGCACACAACCCCATCCATGGTGAGTAAGTCTACCTACAGATCACCTTTTAACTTTTATCAATACTTTGAAAAGTCTGTCTGACCAAAACAAAACTTTTCTTTGGCCAAACCTTCCCTGTCCCTCTCCTCTCCTCTCCTCTCATCCTCTCCTCTCCTCTCCTCTCCTCTCCTCTCCTCTCCTCTCCTCTCCTTCCTCTCCTCTCCCACTTGTACTGTAGGACTAATCTCCATTCAGATAAGATAGATAAAGGTATTGATCCCCAGTGGGGAAATTCAAGTGTTGCAGCAGTAAAAGATGACAGGAAGAACATGCATATGAGTATTAATAAAAATAGAATATATAGGAATAAATAAAGATAAAGGTACTACGTATTTACAATTATTATAAGCAAGATGTTTTCCAGTGTTTAAGAAGACTTTAGAACCCACTGCTGTTATACAGTCTGATGGCAGTAGCCACAAAGGAGCGCCTGAAGCGCTCAGTTTTGCACCGGGGGGGGGGGGGATGATTTGACAGCCAAAAGATGGTTTGGTTATTTTTTCTTGGTACTCGATGTACCTCTACAAACAGTGTTCCTTAGGAGGCCAGGCCCACTCTCTTCCCCCACTTGGTGGCAGGACTAAAAGTTGGCCAGTGAGGGGTTCATGCAAAAAAAAAAAAAAAAACATGTTTGAGTGACACAAAAACAAGCTGAGGAAGCCGTGTTAGTCAGCGTGAACACAGATCTACGTAAAAATATATATTTAGTTAGAGCAAGACAAGATCATAAATATCTCTGAAAAATTATCAAATTGTGTGCAGGAGGCGTGTCCCTCCCTTAAGGAAGGTTGCGGCCATAACCGGGGGATAAAAATCAAACTACAACTGAATGGAAGTCATTTGTTCTTACAGAAAGGGGCGTTTTTCTTCTAATCACAGTAATGACATAGAAAAATAGCCTGCCAGTGGTGGTCTTGACTGGCCTTGATTTAAAATCGGGAGTCCACTGACTCCACTGAGTCTGAGACCGAAACCTTCAAAAAGGTCTCGAGACAAGTCTTGAGACCAAGAGCGATTTTGAGTACTACAACACTACTGTTAAGTATGCTAAATAAAGAAAAGGTGTTTAAACCAAGCACCTGCGGTATTGAAAATGAAGCCAATGTGGAAATGTAAAAAAACGTAGGGGGGGGGGGGGGGTTCTTTTCTACAACTCATCCGTTTTGATGGTTTTAAGTTTAAGAGTTATTCATAATAAGGGGTTTGGCTGATATGATGGCCGGGCAGGCATCCCCTGCTGTCATCATTTAGAATCACAGAAAAAAGCCTTCAACTTTTACCTCTACACATATACACATGCACAACGATCCATCCCATCTGCCTTAACACTGTGAGGATATGGAGAGAATGTGGAGCTCAAAGTTGGGCAGTAACAGGATTTGTTCAAATTGCAGCTCCGGCGGTAATGGCATAAAGACTTAAACATTGCCTGCTGCTTTGGGCTGTCGAGAATGAAATATTAGTCTCATTTTCTGAGGGCAATTTCGCACAAAGACAGGGAGTGTGAGAATGAGGATGGCAGAGATGGAATAAAATTACTTTGTCATGTGGGGGAGAACCCCTCAATTTGCTGAAACAACAAGTGCCTGGATGGGTATAAATGGGGGGAGGTTTTCTATAGCAGAGGCTTTGAATACCTGTTATTTACCCCCACATTAAAGTCTTTATGCATCTTAACAGCCTGCCACAGAAGACACATTATCTCCCATTTACAGTTCAAAGTGGTACCTACTGTAGTGCCATAATGGAGGCTGACTAGGCCTATAATGGTATTTGTATTTGTGGTTCAGACGTCACAGTTTGTGGATGCAGTCCTACAACGAATATGTTGAAAAAAAAGGCAATCACATGGTAGTTTTCACACCCCATTCCAGGTGGCGTTAAAGACAGAACATGCAATCGATTTTTCACACTTAAATATAATAGAAATCAAGTATATCCTCTGAAAATAACTCTGTGAATCATGACTGTCTACAATGAGTGTAACACCCGAGTCCCACTGTCTGTGATGTTTTCAGAGTTTTCAGAGTCCTATCTTCACTTTGTTTACATCGCCCGGACGGCCGGCTGACTCCTCCCCTCGTGTATAAAAGTTGTTTAATTGAGGGACTAGAGAAAAGAAGAATAACATACTGTACTCACTGCTTAACTGTGTTTCTAGATCACGCTCATTTCAGGTAAAGTTACATGCAGTGTGAAGATACCAGCATAATAAAGATCGCTAGCATTAGCATGCTAACACAACAATGCAGCGCGAGTTGTTTTGGTTTCATGCTGGTGCTCAAGGTTGACATCTGCTGGATCAAAAAATCACATATTCTTCCTTTAATGCTTGCAAATTTTGCTTACCACTTTTAAACAACAAACGAAGAAGAGTTATATATGATAGCACCATTAAAAGGCAGAGCAAGAAGCTACCTACAGTAGGTGCCAATCACAGGAGCTATAGGCAAAAGAAAACAGATGCCGAACTATTTATCCCTGCTGTTTTTAAAAAGGGTCAAAGACATTACTTATCACAGAACAAACCAGGACCCCAGACGGAGACAGGAACTTTACCATGACCTCTGATAACTGTTTCACCCCTAACGCTGACGAACAAAAGCATGAAAAGACCACTGCCAGAGACCCAGGGGCTGACTTTCACTTTACAACTTTCCTGTGAGTTATATTTTCAAATGCAAAAGGGCAAATGCATGATGCACCATATTTCCCCACACCTTTAACTGTATAAGGCTGTATAGGTTCCCGGGACAGGCTTGTATCATTCACATTTTAATGAGACCCTTTTCTCTTCTGAACTGCCAAAACCATTTAAAGAAAAAAAAGCATTATTTGGCTCTACTGTGGCTGGCACTCAAACTCTTATAGATCTGACAGATCAACAACAGCTATAATTCAGCGGCTCATGGTTGGTTATTGCGGCTTGTCATAAATTCAAGGCTGAAGTCCAATGTAAGACTTGCCAGTATGCATCTATGAATAAGTCAATATTTTTCAAAGAATCTGTAGACTGCAGTTTGAGTGGTTCTGCCTGTGGCCACAGCCAGACGGACCGACTTTGGGATATTAATGGGGAGGTCAGCAGACAGAACAGTGTTGATGCTTGGCTTTGCAGCACTGCAGACTCAAACAGACCCCGACCCAGTTTCAAAACAACCTCCCCAGTTTAATTTCAGCCAGCAGTTTGTAAATGCCAGAGAAATGGCCAGACATCAAAGATGGAAAGAGAAATGACACAGGCACATATGGAGAGCGGAGAGCCCAGCCACCAAATTTTCTAAATCATTCTCCTTTACATTCATGGGGAAAACAGAGAAAAAAACAGCTCTTTATATATGGTGTGCTGTACAGTGGTACTGTTTATAATCTACTATTTTGTAGCCATACATATGTTGGGTTTTGATGTATTGATCCAGTGCTTCTTTTATAATAAGACTTCAGAGAATCACCCTAGTGTCATTTAAAGTCCCCACACAGGCCTCACAAACACTGAACCTCAACAAGAAAAAATCGGGATAAAGATTTCAATTAGTTATTTTCAATGAAGGCTGGATGTCATAGAAATCTGACTACAACATTTTTTTTATTTTTTTTTATCAAGCAATGGTAATATTTATCATGGTATAAATGTATCCAATGCTGCCAGTTTAAAGAGTATCCTGATGATGGACACTTCTTTAGTTTAGAGTGATTGTGAATAAAGTTGATCATATTTTGGGCAGTTCCGAGTAACCAATCGGAAATCAACCTTCACCCTGTGTAGTACCAGTATAGCCAGCGGTTAGCATTAAACGACTTCCATTCAAGACTTTCTTTTCCTTTGACTGAATTTTCATCTGCAACGTAAAAGCCACCATTTCTTAGTCCATTACATCCCCCAGAGGAATGCCTGTTTATCTGTTTCGCATCAATATCACTTAGTAGATACCAGTAGATCATAGTTACACGTTGGCTTCACTCTGGCTTTGACTTTCTTGTGATTTACTTGCAATTACTGACTCTCCCGTTTGCCAAACTAACAACATCATGATGCAGATTTGTAAAAGATCAAGGTTTGCCAGGTCTGTCTTCAAGAGGAGAAATAAACAAACTGTAAAATGTTTGTTGAATGGAGGTTGGATCGATTAATTTGTGATGCATTTCAGGTAGTCAGGAATTGCTGATTGGCTTCACGACACGTCATGATTGTCGCTTAAGTTGAAATGTTAGATTTTTACTTGATTGTTACCCTCACTTTAATGCAGATATCTGTTTATAGAGACAGTTTAATCGTCAGATTACCACTGACGGGAGCAGGTATGTCATCGTGGGTTGTGTTCTGCCTGCTGATACATAATTGCTTAACACAGCTTGGACTACAAATGTACTACAAACTTAAACCAGAACACTTCCCATGCCAAAAAGATGGTAACTTGTCAATCAGACATTTTAAGGCTGTATCCTCTTATTTTTCAAGTAACAAACATTGAATAGTTGTATCCTATCTATCAAAGCAGTTCATGCATGTTTCTTAGATGCTCATCAGAAGAGGCTGCGAGCGAAGCTCTCACTTTAAATGTTGGCCATATTTTTTGGTTTGGATCCCTTCAGTGTTTATCCTTCACAAGGTTTGGAATGGAAGTCTAATTATCCACAGATATCTCATCCAGTCCAAAACAAAAATAACTTGTGACCTGATTAAGTTGGTGACTCTTTGCCAGTCCATGGATCTATTCTCTGGACACTGTAGCAATAATGTCAACCTCCTAACCTGATGAGGTTAGGCCCCAAAAAAACATCAGAACCCCTGTCAAGTATTTAGCAACACCTATAAATTGGGTCTACTGTTTAATGTACACTACTTATAGCAAATATCTACAAATAGCACTCAAGGCCTATAAGCCTAAATTAATGAGAATACCATGGCTGGTTTAGCCCAGCATGCAGTCAGCAATCTTTTTGAAAGTAGCAGACGTGTTTGTTCTTCTAAAACAGGA